CTGATAACAAAAACTATTTATTTACACTCGTGTTATTTAAATGTAAAATTGAAATTTGCGATGCGGCATCTCTTAATATTAATATTATGAGCTCAAAATTTCACAGTATTTTAAAAATTCTTAATTATATCGAAAATGTTAGAAATGACGAAAATGAATACATATTCGATATAATTAAGATTTTTTTTTAATAGTCTACTGCCCAGTATATGAGCGGATGTCCTTCGTGAGGTTGGCCGAGCAGACGATACAGATAAAAATTCTTCAGTCTTTTCGTTTTCATTGAAACAAACTAATATCATCGTGTGTTATGTGCAAAGCAAACTTCGATTTCTCTTTGTGCTCTGTACATAATGTGGCAACCTTTTCCACGGCTCTATCGGATGCACTAGAGTGAGAGAGGGTCTTTGCCCTGAACAACGTTAAACAATTACTATCACCTATGCAGATGCAAAGGTGCACTCAATTTGTTGGCAACGTTACATTCCTAAATGCCGTTGCTGAGTTCCAGACTTCCGTCTATCGCATAGAAGCTGCTTGAGCTAAAATTGATAAGTTTGGGTACCTCGTGGAAAAATTATCGTTTTTAAAAGCTGATGTAGCGGCTCTTCGGGGTGAGACAAGTCTAATCATCATATTCTCTGCAATTGATGTCTGATTTCGAAGCTGAAGTTAAAAATCGTTTAATTTAGTTTCTGTTAATCTAGAAATTGAAGTTCAACATCAGTTTATATGGTATTGCTGTAATCGCTAATCAAAACGATACATTCTCTGCTCTTACCATTGTCTCCATCTAAGACCCAGTAATAACGGAATTATTTAAAAAAAAAAGCTTGATGTTAAGAACCACAATGCCACAAATCCTAATAAGCAATTTACAGTTAGGTATGAGTATGGGATCCCTAAAGCTGTCCTCAAATCTTCTATTAAACCGAAGAGCAATCCAAAGAACTCATAGGTAGTCGCTATGGATTCTTTACTTATATACAAAGCGTTCGTTCCATCGTAAACAAGATCGTCTTTTACTCTTCGTTAAAATCTCTACGAATTATCAATTATCCCAGAAGTTCTCATCTTTTACCGAGACTTGGTTGAAGAACCATATCAACCTTTCTGAACTTCTAATCTCAGATTACACTGTTTATCGTCTCGACAGGCTTCTTCAGCTGCATCTAGATGCGGTGGAGTGCTTGTTCTCATTAAAAACAGCATGCAGTCTACTGTGGTTAGGCATGGTATCTTATATATTTGTTCGCTTATTCATATTTGACCAGCAGTTTTTACTTCTGCTGCTTATTTTCTGTTTATGTCCAAATTTAAAACTTAAAGAGTTTATCTTCATACTTCAACATTTTACTCATTCAAATATCATAGTATGTGGTAATTTTAACTTGCTTCATGTTAGAATGAAGATTCGGGCTATAGGGCCTAAGTCTAAGTAAACTATTCTGTCCAGACGTTTCCTCAGCTACTGTCGAGACTTCGAGATATAATCTACAGGGTTCGTTCGGAAAGTAATAGGACTGATTTCCTTCCGCCGCGACTGTACTTCGGAGCATGCGCGCACCGACTGGATTCGGTAGAGGGCTGGTGAGTTGTCTCCGAGCACCTGGAGAGTCAGAACAGGCTTTTTCGTGCGACGTGTTCGACTTCGACAAACACCGACAATGTGACTCGTGTGCGCGAAGTTTTGAACTCAGAGCGTCGACTAAGTATTCGTTTAATTGCCCAGATATTAAATTTACCAAAATCTGTGGTTCATGACATTGTGACGGAGCATTTGAACATGCCCAAGGTGTGCGCGAAGATGGTCCCAAAAGTGCTCACTGACGACCAGAAATTGCGGCGAGTGGAAGTGTGCCAAGAAAATTTAAACATGTGTGAAAGTGACCCCCAATTTGTGAATAACGTAATCACAGGTGACGAGTCATTTGAGTATGATCCCGAGACAAAGATGCAAACTTCCGAGTGGCACAGGCCGGCGTCTCCTCACCCAAAAAAGGGAAGAATGAGCAAATCCAAAGTGAAAACGATATGCTCATTGTCTTTTTTGACATGAAAGGCATCGTCCACCATGAATTTGTTCCTCCNTCATGACATTGTGACGGAGCATTTGAACATGCCCAAGGTGTGCGCGAAGATGGTCCCAAAAGTGCTCACTGACGACCAGAAATTGCGGCGAGTGGATGTGTGCCAAGAAAATTTAAAGATGTGTGAAAGTGACCCCCAATTTGTGAATAACGTAATCACAGGTGACGAGTCATGGATCTTTGAGTATGATCCCGAGACAAAGATGCAAACTTCCGAGTGGCACAGGCCGGTGTCTCCTCGCCCAAAAAAGGGAAGAATGAGCAAATCCAAAGTGAAAACGATGCTCATTGTTTTTTTTGACATGAAAGGCATCGTCCACCATGGACAAACCGTGCTCAAGAGACTCAAACGAAGGGTCAATCGGGTTCGACAAGACATCGCAGCCGACTGGAAGTTGCACCACGACAACGCCCCGGCTCACACCACCTTTCTTGTGGACAGCTACCTGACCGAGGCCGGCATCCCAACGCTTCCGTAGCCGCCCTGCAGCCCAGATGTGCCCCCCCGGACTTTTTTTTTTGTTTGCTCGCCTGAAAAGGCCGATGAAAGGCAAGCATTTTGAGACGACAGAGGGGATCCAAGCAGCATGCACCACGGCTCTTAAGGCTATTCCGGAAAATGCCTTCTGTGACGCCTTCAATGCTTGGAAATCGGGCTGGCAGCGCTGTATCGACGCAGAAGGAGCCTATTTTGAAAGTTTTTAAAGAATTGTAACGATTGGCTCAATAATTTTTTTTAAATCGACTCAGTCCTATTACTTTCTGGACAAACCCTGTACTTTCTCGTTGTCAACGCAGTACTACCACTGAGGATGTCAGCCGCAGTAGCTGAAAAAACGTCTGGACAGAATAGTTCACTTAGACCACGGCCCTATAGTCCGAATCTTCATTTTACTATGGATTCCGGCCGTGAAAGCCTTTGTTCTTATATTACTTCATGTCATTTGGGATATCAATACATACAACCTGAAATTTTCTCTTTATCTCACTCCCGTTTATTAAGCGTCCAATGCCCATACTTTGCCTAACGCAACCCTATTTTATAACCTGCAACAACTTGACCCTATCCCTCCTGGCAAGACTTTTATTCATTAGATTTGTCGTTTGCTTTTTCTTCTGTTGTAAGTCACGTGAACCTTCGGATGCAGCTTTTGCCCAGGGATGCTCACCACTATTTTGGTTATCTAGTTATTTTGAATGCTGTGCCAATAGTGATTTTTATACTGCCGTTAATGAGTCTACGTGCAGAAAATTTTACAAAGGTGACTATGGATCAGAACTGGGATGCTGTAATCAAGGACGATAACGTTGATTATAATATCTATTAATTTTACACTATAATTTCTTTTTGCAAGTATCTCGATGGCGTGAAGTCGTTTGAAATTTTTTGCTCGGGATTTTCCAATTCTGGTTTGAATTATGAACTTTATGAGGTCGACAGCTTTTCGCCAACTCCGTTCTACGTTTCTTCACCTTCACTTAAAACGTTCTTCTCATTACAGGAATCAGTTAACTTTGGTTACCTCTGTATTTCATTAAAAAATGGTCTCTTTTGAATGAGGCTATCCTCCAGCTTTTTAATCGCTTTCTAAAAAGTGGCTATTTCCATTCTTCTTTGAAGTTATCTTATATTCTTCTGATACACAAAAAGGCGATGAACAAGACATCAAAAGCTACAGACCGATATCTATCCCAAGCTCTCTAGGGAAGCTTCTGTTCACTGTTTCCTTTCCCTGATTGTCTCTCAGCAGCATAGGTTTGTAAAAGCTCGTTCTACCATCACGAATCATGTTTTTTTCTTTCTGTCAGTCATGACTGCCAACTTGCTAATCTTCCCTCTTTCAGTGTGATGATATGATTTATTGATTTAACCAATGTTAAACTACCAATCTATGGCGAAGATAACAAACTAATCTCTATCATATCAAATAAATACGATACACTTAACATTCAAACAGATCCTGGACGGTCTACATAATTGAATAGGTACTAACCTACTATATATCAATTCTGACTGTTCAATTGGCCGTCCAAAGCTCCTTATTAAGGTTTACGAGATCGCGGATCTTGACGTCACCTTCACATCTTCTTACCATATTTGTGTCACTAATAAGGCATTCAAAGTTCTGGGGTTCATTAGCCGTTCCACATCTGACTTCTATCGGTCTGCCTCCCATTCTTATCTGTTTACTACCCTGGTTTTAACATACGGCTATGAAATTTGGTCGATTTAAATCCTCTCTTATAAAAACGCATTGGAGAGTGTTTCCCACGAATTCCTGCGTCTTCTCTGATTCAAATCCGGGTTTTCTATGAGGTTTTTCAACCACGACCACGATGCCTGTCGTGTTTATGGTATCAATAACCTTTCGTTGGTTCATACATATCATGACTGTTCTCTTTCACAATCAATCAAAATTCCAGGGAATTTTTTGAATTATCAAGTATATATTTTTATTCAGCCATCATTCGTCCTGCTGCCTCCAAATCTGCGGCATGCTTCCCTTACTGACGTCTTTAAAGCTGGTCAAAAACGCTATCTAGGGTTGATTTGAAATATTGACTTTTTCGTGGTGCCGTTATTTTGAATATTTTCGTTCAATACTTATAATGTAGTTTTAGTTTTCTTTTTCTTTTTGTACTGGTTAAATCTTTGTAAAAGAGCTTTAGCTAGTTTAAGTGTATTAAAATAAAATAAATTGCTTTTGAATATTTAGCATTATTTTTAATTGCTATAAATCAAGGTTAGTTGCTATCTTCCAAATTCCTATAAAATAATGTACAACAATGGTATTACTGTCTTTTCCTTTCCTGAAAGTTAACATATGTCCCTTTGACTTCAAGCTCCAAACACAACTGATAATATTTATTTATTTTATTAGTACCACTATATTCGATTATTCTTTTCAGGACATACTGAGCATTTTGAAGATGCATTTAAAGGAAAGTATTCTCCCACGGATATATCTTTGGCATTTTACTCTGGACTGTTTGCTTTCGGTGGGTGGAATTACTTGAACTTCGTTACAGAAGAACTGAAGGATCCATACAAGTAAGTCATTGCATGTAAAAATTGTCATAATTGTTTATGCTATTATTGTTAGTGGCGGAGGGTGACTTTTATTACGGCTTGATACCAATTACATTTCAGAGGTCCCCAATAGCATATTATTGGATGGGGGTTTGATGAGGACGAATTATGAGAAAATAACATATGTAATGGTTAAAAAATATTCTTAGTAACCTTTGTAAATATTAAAGAAAAAAGATGTAATTTTAACATTATAAAAATAAATTAGTTCCGGGTTCGATTTCCGGTCGGGGTGTGATAACAGTAACAATATTTCCCTCATTAATTTGAGGTAGTTTGTAGTGGGTAAATANTTAGGTACCTTATTTAATACTGTAAACTATCTTCTATATTTGAACCTGGTATATTTTCTAATTGTTTCTTCGTAAATAATTGATTGAGTTATGTCATTTTCCATAGAAATAATGAGCAAATAATTTAATCTATTGTGTCTTATAATCGATCTGAATTTATTTTTATATAAATTTTACTTCAGAGAAAGCCCTTCACGCTTCACAACTTCTATCGGCATTGTTAAATAGATTTTTAGAAAAGTATACAAATTTGACAAAATATTTATGAGATTTCTGTTTAGATTAAATTTAATATATCTGACCATTGTAAATTTATTTTTATTTGAATTTATGGTAAATTAAGTATATTTTTTGAGTTGGTAGCATTCATTTTTAATACGACTCGTATGTTAACGCCACAGTGATTTCGAAATATTTAATACTTCTTCAATATACATATTTGAAATTATTATAATTTTTATATCCACAAGAAATTTAATTTTTTTTGTTGTAGTTTTTAAAATTTTCCTCTTCTGTTTGATTTTGATATTAAACAGTTGAACAATAGATATACAATTCTTGCCAATATTTGTTTCATCCACACTCCATAATAAGCATCGGTAAAAGGTTTTGGTGCTCTAAAAGTCTAGGGCCTAATGCTCCTGCATATAAATCCGCCACTGTTTATTATATCCTATCAACAGAGGCACTTTTCTGCATTTCATGGATGTTTTCTTAAATCTAATCGATTTTCTGACCAAACAGTTGAACTTCCCAAAGAGGGCCAAAAAATGACTATTTATTTGGGACCGAAAATGTTATTAAGGATGACAAAAGAAAGTTAACATGCAAATTTGTGCCCTTAATTTTAATATTAAGAGGTCTATCACCGCGAATTTATGTTAACGAAAAATGTAATGAGACCTTTTTTATAGAGCGTCTAATTTTCTTCAAAATCATTTACTATTCTTTTTCAGAAACAAATAGGTTTATGAGTTCAAAATTCAAAAGTTGAAAAATTAAATCGTAAAAACAGATCAATGCTCAACGCAAGCTTACGTGGAAACGGTTTGTCGGACAAAAATTTGCAATCAGGCCTTTTTTGTAGAGAGTTTAATTTCCTTCAAAAAACATGTGTTGCTTATATTCAGATATATTGTTTAGAAGATTTGAGTGAAAGATGCGTTTGGAGTAAAAAGACATAAATACACGATGATATACCTCTTAATATTAAAATTAAAGGCTGAAATTTGGATGTGGACCTTTTTTCTATCCTAAATAATATTTTGGGTATCCCATTAAAACAAATAGTAGTTTTTTTAGGCCCAGTCTAGTATTTACTGCTATTGGAGTATTTTATGTGTCGGACAATGCCTTACTAAGATATTAACTTACCTGTTGACACCTTAGTAAGACCTTGTATTGCAGCAAATACCGATAGCGATACCCTGCCGTTACTTGGATTTATTTAGTTATAATAAGTCATAATAATCAAAGAAAGAGAGGGAAATCTTGCGATCTGAGAAAATAATTCCAGAATGAATGGGACTTATTTTATGTTGTAGGGGAGAGGTAGAATAAAGATTCCCCAGCACGTGTGTCACTAAAGATTTGTTGAGGTTTTGCAAACTAAAATATAGTTTTAGAGAGATAAGTTAAGCTCCACTAGGTTTTTAAAGAAATTGATTAAAAATGCCAAAAAGCGTTAATAGTGTGAGTTTTATAAACATTCGATAATAATCGCAGAAATGATTTTTTAAACGTTTTTATTATTTTAATAGGACGCTGTGTCAATTCTAAATTGATTGCGAGATCATAAAAGTTTTCGTTAATATTGTAATGTTCGTGGGTTTAACAAAATTCACTTAAGGCTGATAACGACAAAAACTATTTATTTACACTAATTATTAATGTATCACTATTCACTGCGCTATTTATTTCACCGCTATCACTGTCAATTTATTTCTCGATTCACTTCTGCAACGGTCAATTCATTTCTCCTCCTCTCGGCGATCGTCTCTTACTTTAAATACTCTTTTGTTTACTTTCTGGAACCTTCTGGAAACACCGGATAGTTTATTTTTTCTTTGAATTGTTCAACTGCTTTCCCAGAACGTAGGTACGATACACACATCTACAAATCGCACACAAACACGCTCGTGCTCGCTACAATATGTTGCGAGATAAGTACATTAATTTGTTGATCCCAAGACGCTAAATGTTGGAACCATAAAAGGCGCCATTTAAATTAGGCACTAATAAAGGATGCCGCATAAATTGATACACCTATAAATGCGGCTTGCGAAATACATTTTAGTTTTTATAAAGTTATGAATCTCGGCTAGACTACACCACTGCAGTATATTAAAATCATGTTATACCTACTCAACAGAAAACTGCACATTATTTACTAATGCTATTAATTTTCAAATTGTCGGGATATCTATCACTAAATATTAATTATTGCAATGATTTCATGAAGACCGCACAAGATAGAGGCGCACGTTCACTACCGCTGTTTTAAACTATAACATTGGACGCACGTAGCTACAAAATCTCCACAAATCATGATGGGAAATCTTTATTCGTCCACCCCCTCCTTACAACGTAAAATTGATTCCATCCACTTTGCAATTATATTCCTCAAATCGCTAAATGTATCCCTTTTTCATTTAGTGTCAGTTAAATTTGTCGTAGCTACAGTACAGTAGAACAGTAAGTTTATGTAAGTCTTCCTGTGCGTGTCAAATACCTAATCATTTCTAATCTTTTTCATCCAAGGTATTTTCATCATTCGCCTGTAGCATCATATCTCAAACTTTTTCTTTTCCACCCTTCTCACAGTCCACATTTCGTATCTGGGTTAAGAACATACACGTTTAATAACCGTGGCAAGTATGCTAAAAACAGTTTTTATTAATAATATGTAGGAGGAAATTTCCTAAAAGAAAGGTTTTATACATATTCGCTGTAAAATGAAGTCATGCTAAGTTATGGTTACGAGAACATTGGGGACTTTTAATAACTTTCTTCTTTAATATTTTTCTTGCGCGCTTCCACTATGAGATAGAGTACTATATAGGCGACGTGCTATTTTTTTTATGGCTTAATCCACAGCAGTGTTTTCAATTTATTTTTCTACATTTGAAGGTTGAAGGCTGGTTAGGGGCTTTTTGGCTGTCAAGTTCTGAACTTCTGACCTCTGGTTCATTAGTTTCTTCGATAATGGAGGCATCTACTTATGCAACAACTTCTTCGTCAGCATTCTCGTTGTATTTTTGTTGACAATATTCGTATGAGTTTGCCCGCGGCAATAGTAACAAAATATTTGAGCATCGAAGAAACGCGGTCATAAGGTTACAAAAGGAAAAAGGCATCGTAGACGTGGTAGGTCCTTCNCATATCTGGAGTTGTGACCTCAACGGGGCGTCCTGAGCGAGGCCCATCAGAGGTGCTCACACGACCCTTTTTAAACTCGGAAACCCACTGCTTAACGGTTGAATTGAATGTCACCTCAAGGTAGGCCTAGTGGCGTCATCTCTTGGTTAGGCCGGAAACTTATCAATCCACCCTCGTATATAGGCGACGTGCTATTTTTTTTATGGCTTAATCCACAGCAGTGTTTTCAATTTATTTTTCTACATTTGAAGGTTGAAGGCTGGTTAGGGGCTTTTTGGCTGTCAAGTTCTGAACTTCTGACCTCTGGTTCATTAGTTTCTTCGATAATGGAGGCATCTACTTATGCAACAACTTCTTCGTCAGCATTCTCGTTGTATTTTTGTTGACAATATTCGTATGAGTTTGCCCGCGGCAATAGTAACAAAATATTTGAGCATCGAAGAAACGCGGTCATAAGGTTACAAAAGGAAAAAGGCATCGTAGACGTGGTAGGTCCTTCCTTCTGTTTGACGACTTCGACCGTTTAGAATATGTTGGTAGCATCGTAACATTTAAACCCAACTTCAAGGAGGGTATCGTAAACTATAATTATTACACCCACTGGCCCACTTATATTTTCAGCTTTATGAACGCAAGACGGTCAGGCAATTTCTGAAGAAGATAACTTTGTTACCGACAAGTATTTCGAACGTTCAGAATCGTGTTTTGGCGTTAGGGTTTGCTCTACAACACCGCTAAAGTAGTGATGAGAAAAATTGGTCTTGGTTTTGCAGTCTTGGGCTTGGAATTGATCTTGGTCTTTCGAAAATACAAGACCAAGAGCAAGACCTAGACTGTCTTTATACTAGCAAGACTAAAACCAAGACCAAATGAAGAAGATCAAAACTAAAACCAAAATCGAATATGTAAGACCAAAACCACATACACAAGACTAAAGGAAAAACTGTTTAAAGCAACTTTAAAATATTTTTTTCTTGAAACAAAACATTTTTAATGTTTGAAATTTTTAGTTTACTTTACTAGATTTTAACACTACGTAAAAAAAAGGAAACTTTACCAGTGCTTGAAAGAAGGAATCTTCAAGAATGTCTTAGGAATAAGTGTTCTTCTTTCTTCATGACAAACTCGCATGTATGACAGAAAATTCCAGCATTGAAGACAATTGTAGGTGAATAGAAAAAATTTGGTTTACAAGGATTATTTAAAAAAAAAACGTAAATATCAAGTTAAATGAGCGAATCCAAGACTTAACACGCAAGATCAAGATCAAGGCCGAGACTTCTTGTAAAC